GGAGAGTGTCTGCAAGGCCACTTAAAGAATCGTTCGGAAGCACGGTGTAATCCTGAAGGTCAGCTGGAAGTACCGTGTGGCTTGGAGATAGTGAGTCCGCACAAAAGGAATCTTGCTGAATATTGCTACTGCCTCATGTCTAGAATCAACTCTCATCATAAACACGAATAAGAAGAAATTCACATCAGACAGAGGCACGGTACTGTAACTGTCAGACAAAACAGTTCTTTATTCAATGCTTACTTCACTGCTTTGCCTTTGAGCTTGCTAAAAGAAAATATTTTTGTTACATTCGTGTAATGTACAAAAATAAGTCGCCTTACCTTCTCGGCAACTGGTGCAGGTAGCATACTCCATCAGAACACCAACAAAAAACCTTGTCGATGGCTGCGAACTGTCCTCCCAGCCACTGTTCGCTGTTTTCGCAGGGAACTGAGCAAATCAGCGTAAAATCCGACGGATCGAACAACTACAAGCAAACGGTGAATGTCAGAGAGCACTTACAGCATTTAAGTGAAATACCATCCACGAATCTGCACAGACGATCAACAATGATCGCGGATTATAAGGGCAAATCATGAGCGAACGAACACTGGAACAAGATATCTGCTTCGATTCCTCTTCGTATATTAAAGATACGCCGTTCTAGAAACAAACTATTAAGCCACTAGTTCCCGTTCATATAAAAAAACTTACACAAAAATAAGCAGAAGCATTTTCCGTTTTTTATCAATATCAGAAAACTCTACATCTTGGTGCTATGAGGAACGAGATGCGAAAAAATACGAAGATATATAACATCTGAAATCTGTCGTAATTTTAAACAGATACAGAACTTCTGTTTTCGGCACAAGTCACATGTCAACAGCAAGAATATATTCGAATATCGGTCATTTTGTAACCATGTCATCTGTTGAAGGTCGCATGCACGTCAGACAAGGAACGAAACAACAGCATTGGGGAGAAAAGAGAAAACTGCACCTATGCCATTTCTTGAAAAGATCTAAATATGCACCTCGGAGTCGCGTTCACTAGTGATGGAAAATACCAAGAGACCGAGTCGGAGGAAGAGACCGACCGGCGAACTTGTAGCTATTGGCGTTCTGTGTCAATTAATCTGATTCACTGTGATTAAAGCAGCGCTCTGTCGGCAAACTAAGCTCTCGATATTCAAGTAGATCTTTATCCCCATGCATATCTACGGTCATGAGTCGTGGACCATCACTGAAAAACTTCTAACCCGGGTACAAGCTGCAGAAATGGGCTTTCTTAGACGAGTCGCTGGCGTTACGCGTCCCGACATGATTCGGAATACTGACATCCGTAAGAGCCTTGGTATACAGCCTTTGCTTCTCCAGATTAAGAATTCACAGCTGCGATGATTTGGGCATGTGTTGCGAATGCCTCCATAAAGAAAGGCTAAGGTTAAGCAACTGTTCTTTGCAAATCCGACCGG